CTCCCAGGAAAGGCCCCCAAACTTCTCATCTATGATAATAGCAACCGACCCTCAGGGGTCCCTGACCGGTTCTCTGGCTCCAAGTCTGGCAGCTCAGGCACCCTGAGCATCACGGGGCTGCAGGCTGAGGACGAGGGCATCTATTACTGCGGGTCCTATGACAGCATTCTCAGTGCTCACACAGTGCTGCAGGCCTGTGGGGAAGTGAGACAAAAACCCGCTGTCCCGCTGCAGTGGGGCCCGGGCAGCTCCATCCTCTGATGAGACAGCTCTGCCTTTGGTGGCGCAAAACCGGGCTCAGAGGCCCCTCTCCTCCACCAGGAACCGTGTCTTCAAAACCTGTCGTCACCCTTTGAACCTGCCCCTCAAGCCCGCCTGTGGTAGCAGCACAGGGTGTGCGTGTCTCAGCCTGAGTAGACCTGCCTGGGCGTCAGGGGGCGGCTGCCCTCGGAATCCAGGCCAGGGCAGGGCAGACTCAGGACCCCGACTTCAGCTGTGCCTGCGTCAGAGCCCCTCATAGAGGCACCGTGTCTGTGCTGTGACCTGGGGCCCCCCAAACAGCCTGGGCCCCCATCCAGCCAGAGAGCAGCGCCTGTGTGTCCCTGATCCACTCCCTGGGGTACGTCTGGCAGTCCTATGATGACAGAGCCCCACTGGGCGGGCACTGAGGGCAAGGCTGCCTGTCCCGGCCCCTCCTGTGCCCGCAGCCCCAGTGCCCACCCAGAGCCCGTCCTGTGGGACTGAGTCCACAGGGAGCCCTTCTCACCTGCCAGGAGGGGCGCCCCAGCACCTGCCACTCAGGCTCAGCCAGGGCCTCTGCTTCTACTGCTGCCCCTCCTCCCAGGGCCAGGCACCAGGGCAGCCCCTGGAGCATGAATGGGCCTCCTTCCCTCTCCCCTCAGAGGCCCTCACAGCAGCCTCCTCCTGGACACAAGGCCTGACACCAAACAGGAGGCCCATCCCATCAGCGGGGACACTGAACCCCTTGGCCCTGCAGCCCCGGGTCTGAGCTGGGGACCATCTGTGGTCACTTCAGACCTGAACCCCGACGAGGGCCCCTGCGTCTCTCTCAGGGTCAGTGACTGTGTCCAGGACCTTCCCCAGCCGGGCCCTCCTCCCTGATGCTCAGTGGGAGCGGCTGAGGCCTTTGTGCACAGAGAGGCCCTCTGTCCCTGCTGCCCCAGCCCCGGGTCTCAGGCTGCACCGCCCACCGGGGTCCTTGGGAACAACCGCTGTCCCCCATCAGTGCTGAGCTCTGACGCTCACTCCTCCTGTGAGTCACTGGCTGCTCCTCTCGGGGACCCTGAGCCCTGAGGAGTGAGGGCCACAGTGTGGCTCCTGGTCTTTGGGGCAATGCCCTCCCCCCTCAGGAGCTCACACGCTGCTGTGGGACGCGTCCTACGTGTGGGGAGAGTGTCAGTCACCACGTCTGCCAGCTCCTCACCATCCCCTGTAGCTTGTGCCTAAAATGAGGAAACAGCACGAAAGGACAGGCAGGGAATTTAAAATATAAGCACATTTTAGGACACCGAAGATACAATTGGTTCACAGAAAAGCAGCACATACAACCGTTGGAATATAAAGGCATTTCCTAAAATTTAAATGCCCCACATGCGACAAGGCCCACCAGTAAATGTGGAGCCCACCAAACCGTTTTTTCATAATGAATCACTGACTCAAATCAGATGACAATGATTTGATGCCTTACATGGTTTGAAATGTTGGCTGAATGGTCCTCCTCTGAATGTGACCCTGAGGGTATTTCTGGAAAGTTCCTCTCTCCTTCATTGACCTGAACAGCCCCCAGGAGCTCATCACACCTGAGCAGCTCCCTCACCTGTGAGGTTGGACCAGAGGCTCACTGTGCATTTATTTGTGCAGCATCTTTACTGGAAGAGAAACCGTATTCATTTGTCATTTGTGAATGTTTAAGCTCATCACACACATGCAGACCTGAGAGTGAAATGCTACGGTGATCAATACAGAGAATCACATCGCAGTATCTGGGCTCAGACCGTGGGTGTGGGAACAGGGACAGAGACCTGGGGAGCCCACAGCCAGCTGGGCTGTCAGGGCTTTGGGGCAGAGGAGGGTGTGTCCTCCCACCAGCAGGGGGCGCTGTGAGACTGCCAGGTGATCAGCACACAGCTATTCAGTGAGACCTTCACACACAGTCACCTGCACTGTGGGCTCCCTGCTGTCCTTGGTGGCCTGGCAGCGCCCCCTGAGCAGGCATCTGTGTGTGGTCTCAGCAGGTGCTTCCTCCCAGGGCCACCCAAGGGGTGAGCCCACCTCCATGCCCCTCAGTCTGGGGTGTGAGCTGAGCTCCAGCCCCAGGGCCCAGGGAGGGGCTGGGCAGTCCCTGGAGGGACCCCCATTTGCATGGCAGCCACTCCTCTGGCAGAGGGTGGGGGAGAAAAGGAGGCCTGGGCAGCCCAGCCCCACTGTAGGCTCAGGGCTGTGAGCACCATGGCCTGGACTCCTCTGCTCCTCGTGCTCCTCTCTCACTGCACAGGTAGGGACAGGCCTGGGACCAGGCTTCTTCCCTTCCTGCTCAGGCTTCTGGGAAAGGTGCCCTGTTCCCTGCCCATCACTGACAAGTGTCTGTGTCTGCAGGGTCCCTCTCCCAGCCTGTGCTGACTCAGCCGCCCTCCCTCTCTGCATCTCTGGGAGCCACAGCCAGACTCACCTGCACCCTGAGCAGTGGCTTCAATGTTGGTGATTACCATATACGCTGGTTCCAGCAGAAGCCAGGCAGCCCTCCCCGGTACCTCCTAAGCTTCAAATCAGACTCAGATAAGAACCAGGGCTCCGGGGTCCCCAGCCGCTTCTCTGGATCCAAAGATGCCTCGGCCAATGCGGGGCTCCTGACCATCTCGGGGCTGCAGCCTGAGGACGAGGCTGACTATTACTGTGCTACATATCATGGCAGTGGGAGCAGCTTTCATTACTCACAGTGTCTCAGATGAAAAGGAAGTGAGACAAAATACCCTGGGCCCTGAGGTGATGACTGCCCCTCCCTTCAGAGAGAAGCTTCCAGGCAGAGTCTACTCTTCAGATGGTGGTGGCCCCACAGTTAAAGGGCCAGTCCCACAAGGTGCCCATCACAGGTGGAAGGTCGAGAGTATCATACAACTCCTGCGCTATAAATCAAAGGTTCCCAGGATCCGTTTCTTGGGTTCAATGAATTTGCTAACTGCACCTGAGACCTGTTGTCCTTCAAGCAAGTGGGGGGCAGGTGTGAGGCTCCCAAACTTCTAATCCTCCCCAGTCTCTCCAGTGGCCCGTCCCCACCCAGGAGCCCACCCAGTGTCCCCTCATCAGCAAAAGGCCCGCCCGTCCCCCAGGGAGTGACAAGGGTTCAGGAGCCTGTGCCAGGGCCAGGGGCCAAGACCAGCGTATGTTTCCTATCAGCTCACATCCTGTGTCTGCAACTGCACATGGTCACCCAGACAGCCATGCTCCCCACAGATGAATGTCATGAGTGTGAACCCTGTGTCACTACTGACCCATCATGTCTGATATGTTAGTGTTCACCCTGGTCATGGACACAACCTTCTCCTTCTCTGATCAAACCCACAGAAGGTTGGTCACAACCAGCACAGACTCTCAGTGACACCCTCCCTCCTCCTCCTCTTCCCTGCTCTGCTGCTGCCTCCCTCACCCCCTCCTCTCCCTCGGGCTCCTCAGCTCTTCACTCCATCCTCACGTGAGGGTCTCAGAGAAAAGTGACAAGTTCCTGCTGCAGTTCCGTCCCCCAGGCCTCCGTCTCTAGGGAGGGAGAGTCACAGGAGTTAATCAGCATCGACTCCCTTCAGAGTCCTGTTCCCTCTCTCACCTCCCACCTGAGGTTGTCCGCTCCTCACAGCCTCAGCCAGTCTCTTTTATGTGACAGGATAATTACTGATTTTTCCAAAGAGGATGAGTCCGATCTCCTTTGCCTGTTTGCACACGGGAGCTACTAATGTAATTGTCTCCTCCTCCCGCGTCCCGAGGCCCTACCTGCCCCCTTTGGGGTGCAACCAGCTATTGTCTTGTTCCTGAGAACACTCTTTTCTAAGAACGTCAGGACCAAGTGCCCACACACACATTTCGCTCAGATTAGCGAAGCCCATGCAGTAGCCCTTTTCCTGTAAATGTACCCACTCTCCTGGCCACCCCCAGGGAGGAGCTGGGGCTGCAGGGAGCTGGGGGCAGGCTGTGCTGTCAGCGCAGAAACAGGGGGGCTGGTGCTCACCCTGCCCTGTGCTTCCTGAGGCCCGAAGGCCCCGCAGCCAAGGGTCGTGTCCCCGCAGGGATGAAAGGGGACAGACGCCTCTCCCGCCACAGGACCCGGCTCCTAACGTGGTGAGCAGCCCCTGTGAGCCCTTCACACCGGCCCCACCGCCCCTTCCCTGTGCTGCTGGGGGAGAAGCTCACTGTGCATTAGCTTTGCAACAGCCTCATGGAGAGTGAGACCCAATTATTATGTTATTTACGTGCACTTTGCACCTTTCCCACAAGAGGACCCGGGACTGAAACACCACAGTCATCACTGCAGTGTGTCAGGGTGACAGCAGCTGGGAAGGAGCCCTCACACATGTGCACAGAGTGACCTGAAGCTGTGTGACCTGTGACCAGCAGGGGGCGCTGGGGGACCGCTCTGTGGGCCTCACACTGCAGCTTAGGGAGGACCATTCACTCAGAGGCTGAGCCCTGTGGCACCTGCAGCATAGGGGCACATCCATCCCAGGAGACCTCTCAGGCCTGGCAGCGCGCCCTGTGCTCAGTGATGTGCTGTCTCAGCAGGTGCTTCCTCCCAGGGCCCCCCAGGGGTGAGCCCACCTCCATGCCCCTCAGTCTGGGGTGTGAGCTGAGCTCCAGCCCCAGGGCCCAGGGAGGGGCTGGGCAGTTCCTGAAGGGGCTCTCATTTGCATGGCAGCCCCTCCTCTGGCAGAGGGTGGGGAGAAAAGGAGGCCTGGGCAGCCCAGCCCCACTGTGGGCTCAGGGCTGTGAGCACCATGGCCTGGACTCCTCTGCTCCTCGCGCTCCTCTCTCACTGCACAGGTAGGGACAGGCCTGGGACCAGGCTTCTTCCCTTCCTGCTCAGGCTCCTGGGAAAGGTCCCCTGGTCCCTGCCCATCACTGACAAGTGTCTGTGTCTGCAGGGTCCCTCTCCCAGCCTGTGCTGACTCAGCCGCCCTCCCTCTCTGCATCCCCGGGAGCCACAGCCAGACTCACCTGCACCCTGAGCAGTGGCTTCAATGTTGGTGGATACAGGATACGCTGGTTCCAGCAGAAGCCAGGGAGCCCTCCCCGGTACCTCCTGAATTACTACTCAGACTCAGATAAGGGCCAAGGCTCTGGGGTGCCCAGCCGCTTCTCTGGATCCAAAGACGCCTCAGCCAATGCGGGGCTCCTGACCATCTCGGGGCTGCAGCCTGAGGACGAGGCCGACTATTACTGTGTAACATGGGACGATAACTCTAAGACTCTCACAGTGGTCCAGACCCACAGGGAAGTGAGACAAAAACCTCCTCTCCGCTCTCCTGGCCTGACCTTGGCCCCTGCTGGCGGGTGTCTAAATCCCCCAACGCCCTTAGGACACTCAGCACCGTAACATTTCACGTGAAGACTGGGTGTGCGCTTACTTTTTATGAACGTGTGAGGCTGTATTTCTAATTGCCTCCCAGACCTTCACCTCCTTGTTAAGGGAGAAACCATGTAAGACCGGATCCTTACGACTAAAGAGGGACCATCTGACCGGTCACTCAGCCCAGAGCCCTCCCGGTGACTCCATGTCCTTCCTCCTCTCCGCCCTCGGCGTGTTTTCCGGTCAACAGTCCTGGAGAGTCTCCCTGTGCCCAGCCGCGTGCAGCCGGCCTCCTCCTCTCCCCCCTACATTGTTCTTTTCCAACCACATGGCTTCTGACCTGCTGTGCTGCTCTCCCCACCCCTCCTGCTCCCCAAGCCCCGGTCCCCTCCTGGTGGGAGAAGCCTCGCGTCCTATTTGGCCTCTTCTGCAGCGACTCCGCATAGAGAACACAGGTCACTCACGTCTCTAGATGCACCAGAAAGGCCTCGTGTGAGAGGAGACCAACTCCCCAGTGTCGCCGACAGCGACATAGTCGCTCTTTCATGTGACTGATAGAGGCTGTTATACTCAAAAGAGTGTTTATTTCTGGATGCCTTCCCACCCTCCTGTGTAAGCCTCTACCAGCACAGAGAATGTAATAATATTCTTTCAATTAGACCCAAGGCCTTTCCTCACTGACCAATGCTGGTGACAGCTTTCCGGGCATTTAGCCTCAGTTCCAGGAGGACACTGCGCGTGGGCCCCTGACCAGCAGGTGGGGCTGTGGTTCTGCCCTGGGTGCTGCCTGGGGTTCCTCCCAGCTGGGGGCGTCCTAGAGGCCTCTGGGTTGGGAGAGTCCCTACAGCCAGACAATGAGGAAGGAAGGAAGGACCGGGATGCTTCTGTTTGTTTAAACAGAAAGGAGATTCAGGGCTCCTGAGACCCAGGCCTGACGAGGAGCCTGTGACACAGGTAAAGGGAGCCCCACACACAGGCATCTCGTCACCGTCTACAGTCAGGAGGCTCGCTCCGCTCCCCCTGGTCCCCGGGAAGCCCCCGAAGCCCTTACTCTGTCCCACTCCCTCACGTACATCAGGTCTCCGCAAGCTGTGAAGGCAGCACAGAGGTCAATGGTCGCTAAACTGGCCTTGAAGACGCCACGGAGCCTGGTCCTGGAAAACTCACTCCCATCGTTTCCCGGAACAGCCCCCATGAGCCCCTCAAGCCATTGGACGTGTCATCACCTGGGATGTTGGATGAAGAGCTCACTGTGCATTAACGTGGCAGCATCTTCGCTGGAACTGAAACCAAATTAATTTATCAGTCACGTCCGTGCTGGACCTCCCAGGCTGGCCCAGGAGTGAGACGCTGCAGTGAGCGCCATTGTCTGTGCCAGTCAGACCAGGATGTGGGAACAGGGACAGTGGCCTGGGAGCAGCAGACACCAGCTGGGCCCAGGGCTTTGGACCAGGGAGATGTAGTGTGTCCTGGGGCCAGCAGGGGGCACTGTGGGGTCGCCCTGTGGCCCCCACACAGCTGCTCACTAAGGACTTTCCACTCACAGGAGCCTGGACCTGGGGGCTGGGCCCTGTGCACTCTGATGGGGACCAGCTGTGTCTTTGCTGGCAACATCCCCTGAGCAACAGCCTCTGTGCTGTCTCAGCAGGTGCTTCCTCCCAGGGGCCCCCCAAGGGGTGAGCCCACCTCCAAGCTCCTCAGTCTGGGGTGTGTGCTGAGCTCCAGCCCCAGGTCTCAGGGAGGGGCTGGGCAGTCTCTGGAGGGACCCCCATTTGCATGGCAGCCCCTCCCCTGGCAGAGGGTGGGGAGAAAAGGAGGCCTGGGCAGCCCAGCCCCACTGTGGGCTCAGGGCTGTGAGCACCATGGCCTGGACTCCTCTGCTCCTCGCGCTCCTCTCTCACTGCACAGGTAGGGACAGGCCTGGGACCAGGGCTTCTTTCCCCTTCCTGCTCAGGCTCCTGGGAAAGGTCCCCTGGTCCCTGCCCATCAGTGACAAGTGTCTGTGTCTGCAGGGTCCCTCTCCCAGCCTGTGCTGACTCAGCCGCCCTCCCTCTCTGCATCCCCGGGAGCCACAGCCAGACTCACCTGCACCCTGAGCAGTGGCTTCAATGTTGGTGGATACAGGATACGCTGGTTCCAGCAGAAGCCAGGGAGCCCTCCCCGGTACCTCCTGAATTACTACTCAGACTCAGATAAGGGCCAAGGCTCTGGGGTGCCCAGCCGCTTCTCTGGATCTAAAGACGCCCTATACCATACGGGGGTCCTCATGACCATCTGGGTGCTGCAGGCTGAGGACGAGGTCACTACTTGACTGGATAACTTGGGATGATTCCTTAATACACTTCTCAGATGGCCGGTAGTACGGAAGAGAAAAAAACCCTCCTCTCCGCTCTCTGGCCTGACCTTGG